AATGTTGTGGACAGATGTTTGAAAGCTTAGGATGACTCTGATTCATTTTTACATGGCTTTCACCTGGAGAAATATACTGTAGATTGTACCATTGCTGCTTTACTGGTATATTGCCATGGTAATGACATGTATAATTTTATCATATCCTTCCAGGTTTGGGATAATGGCCCAAACTCTGTCTTTTGTTATGACCATGCAACCAAACCACCATGCAAATGTAAAGAACCACTTCTATCTTCAATGTCAGCTGATTTCAGTCAGATAACATGATAGATAATTATTTTCACCCTTCTCTGCATTTCTTTAAACTATACCCAACTCAAGGTGACAGTGAGTGATGTCTTCAATTGATGCAGTATGCCCAGCTGTCAGTGTGTAGCTGTCTTTGTAGGTGTGTGGAACCTAGTCAGGATTTTGCAGAAACCATGTGAGTGACCATTTTATCTTAATACGTGTTCCTCATTGTCAATGTTCATGGTTACATTTTTGCAGCTAATTTTCATCAGAATAGTAGATGACGTGTTCCTACTCAGCACATTCACATTTTTAGACACAGATTCATAACTTGTTTGAGAAAACAGTTTGCATTAAAAAATTTCATAGACCTTTTAAGTTACTTTTATCTATCAAGATAAGAATGGCAGGAGAAAAGGAATAGCACTTTTTTCTTTACTTCCTTCTATCAGCATAATTTTAAAAAATTATTTTGTTCTTCACTTTTAACTTAATTAATCAACTCAGAATGTAAGCTGCTTAATGGAACAAGGACATCTTTATGACAAGTTTGTTACCTTTGTAAAGCAACCATGAAAATGTTATAAACTCTAGCACATTTTGCCTTGGTTTTTCTCTGGCTGCCTTCTTTCTTTTGTTTATAAATAAAATGTTTTTACTGCCTTGTTTTGATACTCCTTATTTCTCCTGGTGTAACTGCTCAAAGGATTCTCTGTCTGGGGTGTTGCAGCAGAGCAAATTCAGACCGTTCTGCTCAGAGAAGGAAGTGGACAGTTTTGGTTCCCATTTTGTACTTCTGGAACAGTTTAGGGAAGGAAGCACCTTTACACCTTTTATTGTTCGTGGTTGCTGACATAATATCCTTCCCTGACTGCTCTGTGCGTGCTTCCTGCCATTCTGTCAAGATTCTTCTGTGTTGCAGAGAAGGGATAGGCGGGTGTGCATATGTGTGTATGTGTGTGCATATGTCTGTGTGTCAGTGCTCGAAAGAGAGACATTATTGGTCAAGCAATTTGCTGCATTTTTCATTTAGCTCTTTTCCCTTCTCCAGGTTCAGATCAATCTTCTGTCAGCTACCACTGCCTTTTGCCAAATCATATAATGAATAGAAGACTGCCAAAAATAAAGTTCCTCTTTTCTTAAGCAGTCTGGTTTGTTTTGGTTTTGATTTTTTTTAACTACTTCGCTCTGCAAAAAATGCAGAAAACGATAACAACATAGCATTTAAGTCCATGTTTCTTTAAATGTAATTTGTTTACGCATGACTATATTATTAAGTTGGAAGTTTTCTTTTATGTGGAGCTACTTCAACAAAGCTCCTTTTTTAATTCACTTGGATAATTGATGCCTGCAGTACTATTTGATTTTTGTAGTACATTCAACTTTTCTAGTCAATGTGCTTTATTAGTGTTAGTAAAATAACAATTTACCAGTTAACAGGTACTTTAAATACTTACTTACTGCAATCCTTCGTTCTGCAAGAACTTCAAAAGATATTGAGACCACTGGTGAAGTCCTGAGCAGCCATGGGGATTTGCTGGTCTCCACAGTTCTTTACATTCTGTTTGACTTGGAAATTACCAAGCTTTGCAGGTTATAGCCCTTGCATGAGATGACTTGATTTACTTATCTGAATTTCATTAATTGGGAATCAGTCCTACAAACTTTTTTTGTGTATATACTAATGAAATATATAGAACTATGAGCTAATACATAATAAGAATATCACTTGAAGGACTGTGTGTTGATAGGTGGGGATGGGGGGGTTCTAAAAGGAAATAAATTTGATACAAAAATTCAAAACTTTTTATTTGGAATTGGACTACTAAGCAAAAGGCAAACTAGGACATATAGGAGGAAAGATTTTTTTTTTCATCCTTGCAAAAAAACCTCACTGCCCATTGAAACAAATTTATGTTTCTTTGCAAATTATATGTTTCATAAGGATGACCTAATCATAGTTTTTGTATAAAATTCTGCTTATCAAGTCTTGCAAGAATTACTTTAGGATAACTTTGTGTAGATCACAGGAATTTTAAGGTTCTGATTTTAAACTGTCTGTAAAAGCTGTTCTTGTTTGATGACTGGTCTTAAATGTAGAACTGGTAAGTGTGTAGGAGGGACTCGAACATACTGCTCCTCTGCTGTGATTTTTATCCTTCCTGCCAGAGTTTTCTCAGTATTAAGTGATTTTTTCAGAACTCACTAAGCATCAGCATCTTGATCTGCAGAGCAGCTCATCTTCACAAACCAGCCACAACTGCTCTAATCTGCCCACCCTGACCTTCCACACTGCAGTGAATAGCTTAGGCAGACACTGCTGTAAATCAAAAGCACCACTGGCCTCAGCTGAATGGAAGAAAAGGAAGTTGTTCCATATGCTCTTGCTGTGGATTAGAGTATGGGTTTGCTTCTGCAGAGAAAGACAGTTGGACTCTTTGAGTCCTGCATGTGCATGGGAAACACCATTCTAATTTGTACTTTGTGTTGGAGATAAGATATAGGAAAAACAAGAAAGAAACCCAAACCAAGGAAATGTAACTGTTTCTTAAAATAGACTGGGTTTGTTTGTCAACACTGAAAATCAGATAAGATGGTCTCCTAACTTTGTTTGGGAAAAAAAGCTTTTAAAAATACATTTACAGAATATATTTATTTCAAATTTTTGGCCTTCTTTTTTTTGCTGTTGTTGCAAATATGATCAACAACATTTGTATCTATTTAAGCAGTGAGTAGCTATTGCTTTCAAATATAAAATGCAGCTAAGAATTTTTGCAGTCTATATTTTGTTATAGTTACAATATGAATTGTTCCACTTTTTGTGTTCTGCATTATGGTAACAATATACAAATATGCCCAGAAAATAATATAAAAAAGACATTCATATATAGAAATATAATAAGTATTATACCTTAAGATTTGTTTTGCCCAACAGGTTAATTGCACCATAGTGACTAGCTAGAAAACTCAGACTGCCTGCTTATTTGTTTTTGTTTTTTTTCCTTAGTGAGTGATAAAACACTTGAACAGCTTAAAGTTAATGTATGCTAAGAAAATCAAAAGAGAATCAAAGACCGGAAGGAGTGAGATCTACTTTGCTACCTCAGTAGCTTTGAATCAGAGCCAAATAATGGATTAAATGAGCAGGATATCAGCTTAGTGTTATGCAATATATTATGAGAATTTATCAGGTTTGCTGAGATACTGTAGTTTAGAATAAATGAGGAAATACCAGTCTCTGTTTTAAAATTACAGATTTTTTACTTCCAAGGCAATATTTTTGCTATACTTCAGAAGAACATTTAACTTCATATTTTTCAGATTTCTTTTTCTTATTCTGTGTTTCAAAAACCTTTGTGCTGTTCACTTAAAATATACAAAAATATACTAATATGGTAAACTGAGATTATAAAGAGGAAAAACTTCTATCTTTTACCTTATACTAGACAAAACAATTTTTGTAATTTTTACTATTTCCATGGACTCTTTTATTATTAAAATAAACGTATTCTATTGTTAAAATACTTTCAACATTACTGTTGAGGCAAACACCCCATGAGTGAAGACACAAGGCTTGACTCCATTTTTCTGAGAAGGCTGATTTATTGTCTTATATATTATACTAAAATATTACAATAAAACTATACTAAAACCATAGAGAGAAAAAAAAAAAAAGATCGGAAGGTTACAAAGAACAGGAATAGAATAGAATGCATAACAAAAATCTTGTGACTGCTCACAACCTCGGCACAAGTGATTGGTCATCAAATGAAAAGAATCCACATGGACCAATGGAAGATGCACCTGTTGCATTCCACAGCAGCAGATAGTTATTGTTTACATTTCTTTCCTGGGACTCCCAGCTCCTCAGGAGGGGAAAAATCCTAGGAAAGGATTTTTAATAAAATATCATAGCTACACATTACATAAATCAATTATGTGGTTTATAATATTTTGTGAAATATGCTTCCTGCATAGTGTATTTTTATGTACTGTGCATTTTTCTCCTTAGCTCTGTGATAGAGCCAGTATTGTAAAGCTCATGCATTACTAAAACAGTGAAAATATTTTTCAAAACATTCTTAAAATTGTCATCTGCCTCTATTGTTCTGTTTTATAAGAAAACATGTGTTTGCTGGTTAGAAATCCTTTGCAAAATATTTTAGAATTTACACTAGAATGAAATGAGGGAAAAGGGCACTAGTGTTTTTTCAAGTATCTTCAGTAATACTTTCACTAATTTATATTCTTAAAGAATAGAGTTAAGAACTTTGGATTTAAAGTAGCTGGCAACTTATATATCAAAGAACACTTAAATGCATGTCCATCGTATTTGCATAATGAGGGAAATTATCACCTCTGCTGTCAAAGCACAAAATTGTTTTCTCTTCAGAAATAAATTAGCTGGCCTGCTTAACATAGATACAGAACAGTTCATTAACTCTCTGATTTGGGTAATTTTTCATATTAGAGCTGTGAATGATATTTAAAATTAGAGACATTAATTCCATTAAAATTTTCACAACTTGTACTTCAGTCTTTTTCTTTATTTCTTGATATATTTCTATTTGGTGTTTTCTTTCATAAAAGAAGGCCTTTGAATAATTTTTTTCCTCCATGCATTACTTGTTTTATAGGTCCAGTAAATTTTAGTTCTAATTTACTTGTACACTAAATAATAATAAGGATACTTGGCCAGCTCCATGTAATAAGTGCCTTCTGGTTACCAATTTCGTGATAACGTTTGATTTCCTTTCTGTGTTTAGCAGGAACGGATGCAGGGGACTGTGAACTGAGTGGTGCAAGTGCTGAAGAAGGAGGTTTGTTTTGAGGAAACAGGAAAGAGGAATAAAAGAGAAGGGAAAAATACGTAATTTTAAGGAAGAAGGAGAGAAAAAAAAACGGGGACTATGGGGAGAAAAAAGATTCAGATTACAAGGATTATGGATGAACGTAACAGACAGGTGAGTTGCAGAAATACCTGACTTAAGCATCATATTTTATTTATAAGATAACTTCTTATTAAAGGTGATTAAAAAGTTGATAAGTCTGTGTACCCATGCATATACCAACATATACATATTCACAGTGTATGTTAGACTATCAAAGAAAAAATAGTTTTGTAAACAACCTGAAACCTCACACACGGTGTTTTCAAGTTCAGTGACATGCATAGTGAGGAAGTTACTACTTGAAGACTTTATTCTATAAAGACTGCTCTGTGTGCTCTGCTCTACTTGCTTTGAATTCAGTCTGGAATATACACGGTTAAGCACATCTGTGAGTTGCTACAGGACACAGCTTTTAGTACTATATTTTCTGAACTCTTTTGAGTTATTATAATATGAGCACTTTCATTTAAATTCAGACATCCCAATTACTGGTGCTCCTTCACCTTTGCAGTGTCTTTATTTTCACCTCCTTCATATAAAAAAGACACTACTTCATAAAAAAGTTTCCTCTTTTCCTGTCTGAATTTTAAGAAGGATTTGAGTAGCCTAACACATTCTAAAATCCACATACAATAATACTAGCCTATGGTAGTTATAAAACCATCGGTATTTAGCTAAGGCTAAATAGGTCCAATAGGATAGATTAACTAATTTTTAACTCTGTTTTAATAAAATTACTAGGGAGCTGTCACATATTATCAACACTATCTCTGCTAGTTAAAATATGACCAAAAATTAGGAAATTTTCTTCCCTGTGTTCACAAAAATAAAATTTAGTAACTGATGTCGTTAAATAATATTGGTGAAAATTGCTGCAGTTTACATTTGATGTAGATGTTTTGTTGAAACTGGAGATCCACAATTGTGAGCACCTCTCCATATAATTATTTAATAATTATCCATATAATTATTTAATCCTGAACATTAACATGGTTAATGTTCTTTTTAGACCTGGCTGCAATTTAGTAATAATCTTCAGTAGCTGATTTTTAAGAACTTGATACTGAGTTACTATTAATATAATAGTACCACTAATTTCATCTATAAATATTTCTTCATCTATTATGGGATTTTTTTAAAGAAGCTGTTAGTCATGGAGGATTTTATAAAGCCATAGAAAACTCAGCCTAGGCATAATAAAAAATTATAGTCCTTAAATATGCTTTCCAAGAATTTTTTTAAATATTGTAGTGTTACCAGTAACTTGTGATCTCTATGACAGAAAATCGTGTGTAACAGCAAAATGTTCCTTATGATGGATGCATTTTGTGTTTTCCCTAAAAGTTGCCTGTTTTGGTGAGACAAGCTAAATAGCAATAATAATAACAATATATAAATGTCATCATATTTATTTTAATTGTCTTATAGCATGGAGTTGAAATTGGATGTGAAATATTGAATTGAATTTATTATAAATATTAAGTCAGTAGTTGTTTGAAACTTGCCCATGCTATAATGGCTTCTTTTTGAAGGGAACTTGAATTCTTTTGTAAATGATACCACAAAATTTTGCCATTCCCAACGTTAGATCATACAACAGTTTCATTGTCAACTTGCTTGCTCAAAGGTAGTATTTACAAAGATTTTAGCCCCACTTTTGTAAAAAAACCCCAGTTTTAAATGATTAAATATACTTTTAAAAAAGGAGACAGCTAGTCTTCAAATTATTCACAGTAGAGTTTCAAGAATTCCAGAACAAGCTTTCAGAACTAATAATTATGAATAAAACTGTAACACTAGAATACTAACAACTGTAGTGTTAGTGCAGGGAGGTAGTTTGTCTCACTACCATTTATTAGACTCATAGAATCACAGAATGGTTTGGGTTGGAAGAAACCTAGTCCAACTCCACTGCCATGAGCAGAGACTCCTTCCAAAAGACCAGGTTTTTCAAAACCTCATACACTCTAAGGAATAGGGCAGCCATAGTTTCTCTGGTCAACCTGTACCTGTGCTTCACCACCCCCACAGTAAAGAATTTTTTCCTAATGTCTAATCTAGACCTACTCTCTGTCAGCTTGAATACATTCCCCCATGTCCTGTCACTCCATGCCCATGTAAAAAGTCCTTCTCCATCATTCTTGTAGACTCCCTTCAGGTACTGGAAGGCTCTAGTTAAGTCCCAGCCTTCTCTTTTCCAGGCTGAACAATCCCAATTCAATATTTGCTAATGTATCTTAGCCACTGTGAGCCTGGAGGTATAGATCTACATTATTTTACTTTCCATATAGTAAAACTGGCTTGATTCTGCTTCTTATTTCTACTAATATATTAATGATAATTTTTAAAGTATTTCTAAGGACTTTATCTTGCATTAGTGCCCTGATTTAAAGCTGAATGAAGCAAATGAAAAGATTTTCATCATTTAATTGGACTATAGGATTTTAATTTTAGTAATATATATGTGATTAAGTACAACTGGATTTTTACTAATATCTCATTGGGTTTTTTAACCATTTATATAAGACGTACTCTTTCACAAACTTCACTGGTTCTTAAAGTATTGCTGCTTTAGCATAGCAGCATCAGTTTGTTTCCTAACTTGCACATTTCCAGTAATCTTAAAATATTAACTTTCTTATATTCCTATTTTTTCTTCTTATTTGATTGCATAAATATATACAAAAAAAAAATCAAAATGTTGCACCAGAAAAAAAAATGGTTAAAATTTTTTTCATTAGTGAAGCTAAGATACCAGCTCAAGCACAGTTCCACAAAGCCTATTTGTAGCTCCATTTACAGGTGGAGATATTTTCTTTCTACCTCACCAAAAAACACTTGCAAGAACAGCATCAAGTGGCTTGGCAAGAAACTGCCTTATTGTTGCTTACATTCAAACACAGTATGGCTTCACAATACAAGGTATGTTATACATTGTATACCTGGATGGTGCATCCTCAGCTGTTCTCAAGCACATAAATCCTCTGCAGTACAGCACATGCTGGTAAAAATACATGGAACCTGTATCAAATTAGGAGCTATAGCAGTAGTTTCATTATTCTGTCCCCTCTCCTAGTGCAAATATCTATTTGGAAATCAGAATATTTGCATAATGGTTGAAGTTGCTACAAGGCCTGGGGAGCAAAATTCTTGTCCTTGATTTTCCACTCAATTTCCTTCTTTATGTCAGCCATTGAATGATGTACTTATTCTCAATGTGAAAAAGCTGTTTTCTTCCACACTACTATCTGCTATGGTAGAAGACTCCCCTACTCTTCAAAGTGCTTTTATGAGTGGATTGGGAAGGATAAAAATATAGTTGATCTCTCTTCAAGAGAATTTCTTCTGAGCAAGTCTAGTTGGTTGGATTTGCATACTTTAGTGATCATACTGGTAATAAAAGTAATTTCAAACTATCCAGGGTCGTATTTCTGGCTGCAAATATCAGAGAAATGCACAATTTGAGGATGCAATCTGCACTTTTCCAAAAACTATTTTAAGCTTTGACTTTTGGGGATAAATTAAAGGGAAACTACTTCAACTCAGTCATTAGAGACCCAGTCGTTTTACCCTGGCCTGCTTAAGAATTCTCACATTGACTTTAGTGAGTGAAGAATTCAGGACTTTAACTGGCAGAAGCCATTAATTTAATGATGTTTCTTGTGGGCTGTAAGTTGGCTATATTTTTCTAGTCCTCATTGATATCTTATGGTGACAAAGACCATATGGCACAAATATTTGATTCTGTGAATGATCGTGGATTTTCTTTGGTTGGAAAGGTTCCAGAGAAGACTACCTGACAAATTCCTTTTCACTGTTTTTTGACACATGTAGAAGGAAAATTAATAACTGCCAGACCTTGATTAAATATTTATTTCTTTTGTGTGGCTTGGTTGCCACCATAGCATTAAATGGAAATCAAAACTCTCAAGTGATTCCTGTTATAATTAGACAAAGTGACGAAATATTTTCTTGTTACTCCAGTGATAATTCTTGGATAATATAGTCTTCATAAATGTGGAAAGAATCCCTGGTAATATTGTTCAGGTTCAACAAGGTTGTGAGGTTGTGCTAGCTTTGTCAACAGATCATTCAAATAGACTGTGGCTGCTTACATGATATTAGTTCCACCATCAGCAGAATCAATAGCTAAAAATGTTAGCATTGACATCTGATGCTAGAAGTTCCTGACTGCTACAAGTTCTTTCTGTGGAAATTTCAGTAGAGCAGATTGGAGAATTCTGGTAACACTTCTAGGATGATTAAAGAAAGAAAAAGAGGGAGATCACTTGGAAAAAACGTGTGAACTTTATTTTCCTGTATTTTCTTAATTGAAAGAAATAATTTATCTCCTTTTGCTATGGTCAACACATGAAGGAAAAATTGTAGTGTCCTTGTGTTTTTTCTGGGTTTTTTATAAGTGTGAAACATTTTGTTAGTTTTAATGATAGCCTTTTGCAGTCTGCTTCAGATGAGGACCATTTGAAATTTTTTGCAGCCAGCCAGACATGGCTGTTGAGGCCTAAAATAAATAGGTGTAATGACATAAATGATATTGTCTTATCGTTTTACAAGGTCTCTTACAAAGTATCTCATTAAATCCATGGTTTGTGGATTTAATGAGATACTTTGTAAGAGACCTTGTAAAGGTCTCTTACAAAGTATCTAAATCCAGAGGTATATTGACCCAGGAATGAGGATGTTATTGACCCAGTGATTTTCTGGTGTCAGATCTGGAACACTCTCTTGCATTTGATCCCCATTTTTTGTCTACTTAATATTAGGAAATGTGAAGCCTTACAGGATGATGCACCATTTTTTGTCCCTATGATTTTCTTTCTCATTAGTTGTGCATTTTTTTCTGGCTCCTGAAGAGTCACATTGCAACTGAGTTTATCATATCTAATGATTCTGTGCAGCATTCATTTCTTTCAATTTGTAATGAGCTGGCAGGGTCTTAATTTTATTAAATACCATAGTAAGTCTACACTTCAATATTAAGGTGTTTAACATTGAAACGCCCTTTTTAAAGCATCACTTCTATGTAAATATGTAGGGTATAACAGTAACAT